AAGTTATTTCAGATTTGAAATTGTGATTGTTTCAACCTTTGTTAGAGACAAGTGCATTTGATTATGGTGATGTGAAAATCAATAAGCCAACCAAATATGCAGAAAAGCACCGTGGTCACCATATTTCAGTATCATTACCTGCAGTACTTAAGACTTTAGCTCTCTGGGTATCTGCTGGTTTTGTCACCCGATTTGGTGAGAGCGATAGCAGAATGTTTGGGCTAACCATCACCTGGGCCCCATAGAAGCGCCGGCCAGTCATGTTAGGATTGAGCACATTGAGCACATTTTCTGCACTGTTGTAGGAAACATTGGGGCTCAAGCTAAGCTTTGGTCTGGCTTCCCCAAGGTCTGCTACGCCTTGATCCACGTCACCATCACCTTGGTCTTTATTGATATCCACATCACAAACAGAAATTAGGGGAGAAAAATTGGCCATGCGATAACTAGCACTTCTTTGGACCTTCTTATTTTTCAGTGCTTCTCCTATTTCACCACCTATAGTTAGTACATTTCTGTTAGTAGAGACAGCCTTCTTACCTTCAGAGTTATTTTGGGGTTGCTGTGATTCTCTTTGTAGACTGACATCATCTGGACCATCAAAATCAGTTTGCAGGAACATGGGATTGGTCTTGATAGTTGGTCGATTATCAGGCTGAACATGCACATAAGCACCTCTTGTAGGAGTAGTATTTCGTGGAGACATAGATCTCATTGAGCAATTCGTTAAGTCTTCTGTTGGTGAGACTAAGCCTGCTCTGATGATTACTCTGTTGTTCCTCTGATTCAACAGATCTGATGTTTGAAGCATTGATGCTCGAGATGGTTGAATTGCACTGCCTCTTTCAAATGAGGTGATAGGTCTCGTTTGAAGGGACAATGGTCTGGGAACACTGCCTCCACTGTGTGAGGTCTCTGACAACAAAGATTTGGAAGCAGAGTGAGAAGGACTCCGGTTGTTGATGCCATGTGGCAAGCCACTGGCCTGTGACTGAACTGGCCGAATTATCGATTTGGGCATTCGATGCCTAGCTACAGGACTTGGGGAAGGTGATACAGATGTGTCTTTCACAAATTGTCCAGGAGCAAAAGTGGTATGAGCTCCTTTTCTTCTACGTAAACTGTCAGATGAATAAACAACTTTGCCCTCAGAGTCTAACATGACGCGAGCACCCTGTCTCTTCTTCCTCTCCAAAGACGACTCGGAGGATGAGCCGGAGAGAACTGACGCAGCTGGATGCTTAGATGAATCTGGAGCAGGAATTTCATTTAAAGAAACATATTCTTGGTTCTCCCATGTCTTAGCAGTTGACTCACAAACAGACTCTGAAATTTCAGAGCGCTGTGGAGGACACTGTGGGAGTGAGCTGGGCTTGTTGTTGTTTCTCATATCAGTTATAGTAACATACTCTCCAGATTCGTCAATGCTGTCGCTTTCCTCTGGAACAAGGTCTTTGCTATCACATCTAGATTGTGGAGCAATAGGACAAGAATTTGCAGGTGGTTTTGTACTCGATGTTTTCCGAAATTTGCTGAGCATATTGGAAAAGGGAATCAGAGCATCTTTGATGAGAGGTAACTGATGCAGTGGTTGACTTGGTGAATCTTCTTCAAATTTAGAATTTATTATAAGTGTTCCACCACTCGGTGAAGGAGGACGGATTTTCTGATTATTGTTACTTTCCTTAGGACCATTGTCCAGGGTTTCAACCGTGGCATATCCAGACTTTTGATCCACATGAATGATACTTGTCATAGATGTACTGGTAACAGGGGTGGTTGGTCTAGCATTGCAGTTGTCATCAACTGTAGTCTTATTTGCATTACTATCAGTTCTTTGATTATCATTATGTTGACTGTAGCGATT